TCTCACAAACGCAATGTGAGAGTAACGCAGTAACGCAGCGTGCTTACGGGAAAGTAACAGTAATCTAATGACCTTTTTTGCAGTATTAATGCCTTACTTTACTCGTTACTGCCCATCTCTGTTGTAGACTATTAAGAAATATAATTACAATACAAAGAAAACTATAATCGTAACAGCTTCTACGAAATCAATTACAACCACTCTAAATTCTTCAGTTTATGAGATTTTGCATTTAAAAATGTGATAAAACTCCTCGTACAGTTTTTCTAGAGTAGATCAATGTTGGAAAAATTGTATCCATTTCCAGCTCAATAATTAGGCGTGGAATAAGCAAAGAGGTAGGAGCTCTTATTGAATCTATTGTACAACAGCATCTCAGACACAGAAGATTTTTAGTCATATACATTTGCCTGTCTGTACTCTGGGCTTCTTAAATAAAAAGAAACTATGGTTCTCTCACTGCTGTAAAATTAATTGCTTAATAAACAGTTTTGTTTTGTCTTTTAATTTACACAGCCTCCATGACAGCCTTTTTCTTCTTTGTGGTCTTCTTTTGGACATTAACTGTGTTGCTGCTGTTGTTGTTGTTTCTGACACTGCTGGCTCTCTTCATCTGGTACACCACCTTAGCTGCTTCATCAGAAAGAGTCAGCTGTAATAGATGTAAAAAAAATTGATAATCTGTGAATAACAATTTTTTACAAACTCATAAACAGACCAATAAACAAAATCTAATATCTTGTTCCAGTGGATCTTACTCTTGCACTAATTGCAAAATTTTCGTCTATGGAGAGGTTCAAAAAGTAGCTATAAAAACTTTATTCACTGTGGTTGCTTGAAAGGTGCTGACCATTAAGGGGCTGTGATGGAGTTCAATAAGCTCATTCTCACTCTGAGTTTAGTATTTACTCAAGTTAAAATTTATAGGGTGAGGGCTATATTTTCATATTTACGACTGTTAGAAGTTAGTATTAACTTTGTTGTTGATCTGTTGCAATGTATGTGCAGACAAAAAATAAATAAAAAAAGAAAGATTACAAGTGCACAACATCTGATTAATGTTTCATGAATTCTTGTGCTGCTTCATTGGCAGTTGTATAAAAGTACGATTTTCCAAATCTTTGCCTGCTCAGTCACAGACAAACACAACATCTGACACATGTAAAAATAAAATAAAAATGAATACTTCCAAAATGTTCATGCTACATAAACAAAGGGTTTATATAATGATACAACTCACTGTGTGAAATTTCATCTAATTGTCTTCATTAAAAAGTGTATGAATACCTGGGATTCCGTGGTAATGTCCTCACAAATTGTCGTCATGGTTTCCATCCAGTTACCATACATACTCTCTTCCTTTTGGATTGGCCTCCACTTGCTGTAGTTTAGAAAGAGGCACTGTTACTGCCTACAACACAGTAAAGTCACACACACACTTGAACTCTAACCCCTTAAAACCATTCCACTTTCTTCTACTCACTTCAACCGTTAACGTAAAATGATCAGGTGGTGGCTCAGTGGCCCCACAGTACAGGTGAACTGATGGGTCTAGATCCCCCCCATTCAATGTGTACTAAGATCTGCATACATATCTGCTTTGCTACTTATTGTTATAGGGATTTAAAAAATAATAATCTGAATATTTATAAAAGTTTAAATGTCCGGTAGTAATAAAATAGTGACAAGAGATCAAATGCCACACTTGGAAAATATCTTTCCTACAAAGGCAGGCAGCAGTAACTACACAAAAGTAATAAAGTTGAGAACATTTGCATAATTATTCCTCAACATAATGTATAACACTTTACGTTTGGACTATATAAAAGAATACTAAGGTAAGTTAGTTTGTTTTTAGGAGAACTCGAGCTTCTTTTCTCTGTATGATAATGTTTAATGACCATTTTATGCACGTGGTGTCTCAAATTTAATTCCTGAAACACTGAGTGGCCAAATGTTGCAGTAAACAGTAGCTATATTATCTGGGATCTATATAGAGTTGTTTTAGCCACTTTCTGTCACTTCTACAAAGTAAACACTTCTTCACATTTCTTATAAATTTTGTGTAAAACATAATAATAAAAATGCTTGTAGTAAAAACAGATTTCGGTCTGGCTTTCACTGACTTAGGTCCAAATTCACCAAATTGACTTTTTACAGGATTCATCACAACAATAGCATGCAGCATACATTATCAGTGCCTTAATAGCTGGCTACTGAATCTCTCATATGTGCATTCATTATTACCTTTTTCTCCATGTATCCTCTACAAGACTCATACCTGACTTGTTGCAGCAGGTCTTGCTGTGCTTTCAGCTGCCTTTGTGCCTCCTGCACTTTACCCTCCATGGTTAAACTGGCACAGAGCTGTGCGCAGTGAACATCGAGCACTGCCATGTTAAGTCTACCTGCAAAAATCCGACTTCAGACAGACAGATAAACAAGATGAAATTAAATATATAAATATATTTTATGATTAACTGGAACACATTTAAGTTAATGATTCTAAAAGTATTTAACACCCAGCTCCAGCTTTTTACCTGCAGGTAGTTGCTGGTCGCTGTTCGGTGATGATGCGAGTGATTCTGTGTTGGTCTCTGGTCTTGAAGCTGAGCTGCATTTGGAATGGAAGCATTCCTTTCTGGAGAAAAACTGGTGAATACAGACCAATATATAACAAAATAGATTAGACTTTGGTTGATTCTATTAAATGCTTTCTGCACTAAAAATGATTTTTAAGCAGTAATAATACAGCAGAGTTGACCTACATTCCATAAAATCTGGTTTTACAGCAAACTGGAAGGTGATCTCCAGACCTTTGGTGACATTCCCAATCTCTCTTACCAGTTTGTGATTGTTTTCATCCTCATATGGAAAATACCTAAAGTGAAAGAGAGAGAAGAGTGAAAATAAAAGAAGGAAACAAAGGAAATTAATATTTTGGATACCACTGCACCACTCTATATTATTATTGTTATTAGACTAACATACAATCGAGTATGTAAAATGTTTATGTGGCAGTGTTTTTACGTTGCCACTCACACTCCATCAGAAGCGAGCAGGGTTGCTTTGACTCCTGTAGCTAGGACGTTATCTTCGGAGACCGATTCAATCTCTCTTGCTACCGTGCCAATGCTGACAATATTTACCTGCGCAAGCCAAGGAGCAAAAGTTACAGTAATATGTTCTTCTTTGTGTTTGCTTGTGTGAATTAATTTGTGTCTATCTCACTCTTCCTCCCGTAGCATCTGCCAGTTTACCAATATCAGCCAGGCGACAGTCTGTCCCTTCAAAAGTCATTACTGATATTATGACTCTGAAAAAGGAAAGAAAGAGATATGTTTTTCACAGAATTAGACAGGTCTTGTGGCTGATGTGCTCAGTTCATGCAGATGTGAAAAGTTCAAAGGTTTGAGCTAGACACCCTGCTGTAGCCAGGTGAGTCTGAATTCTGGAATGCTGTAGAGTACATGTGCAAAGAGTATATAAAAGAGTGTACAAACTGTAGCATGTAGCTGTAAAATGAAGTCTTAGTAGTAAATTCTCCATTTCTACTCCAGAACAAAGCATATGTTTCCAGTTTTTACTTTGTTTATCCCAACAAAGTGACTTTTTTGTGCTGATAAGCTACAAGTCAACTGATTTGCACTGGAGTAAAGGCTCTTAAACTTCACCAGATGTTGACGTCTTTGTTCTGTTCCAGATTCTGGTCATTGTGAA